CGTACCTTGACCTACTAGTACTGATGATTTAAAAACATTTTTGTGGACATCAAATGAATGATTGTATAGGCTTTTTTTTTATTAAGTACAGTAAGCCTATAGATTTAAATATTCTAGTTTATAGTTAAAAAAGAGGTGGACTTATTTTTTTCTTGGCAGTTATATACTGTTGTTCAGCACGTGAAGCACTTCAATGATGTGGTGGAATTTGGTGAAAATCAAGAGTTCACTGATGACATTGAATACTTGTTAAGTGGCTTAAAGAGTACTCAGCCTCTAAACACACGTTGCCTTAGGTAAGATCTTAATTTTACATTATAATGTTGTGTATGCCATGTCATTAATTTTTTCACCTATGTGGCTTTAAATTTGTTAGTAAAGCTAGGCATTTAAAAAATTGTGTGTTGATAATCAGTGATGTGTTAAATGTTCCCTTTTTAAATATAGTATAGGCTTCAGTTTCCAGATGCTAAAAGAATAAACGTATACTAAGAAATCTGAGGTTTTGTTTTTTTAAATTATCTCAGAGTTTCAGACTTCAAGTGTTAGATTGATTTGAGCAGGGATCTGGGTCATCTTTTATGTATGATAATAGATTGTACACCTTGACTTGGTTTAAATTTCTATAGTCAGTTGGAATATATCCAATCAAATGTAACCACTTGTAGTTTTCATATAACAGTGGTATTATGAAAGATAACTAGAATTTTACAATTTTAATGTTTGTAGTGACTTGAGGAATACACTACAGATATCATGCTATTCATTTTTATAAAGGTAGTATGCTCAGTCACACTCTAAACCTTGGAACATATTTTAAAATTTTGGTTTTTCATGTTTTTTTATATTTTGTGTTGTCTGTACTTTAAACCTGCTTCCTTCTCATTTGCTTGTTTGGAATTATGCAAACTACAGCTAATGTCCTAGCAATTTTTAGCTGTTCTAACATAGTCTGTTTCCTTCTAGTGTTATTAGCTTAGCTACTAAATGTGCCATGCCCAGTTTCCGAATGCACCTGAGAGCACATGGGATGGTTGCGATGGTCTTTAAAACCTTGGATGATTCCCAGCACCATCAGGTATTTTTTAAGTGTTTGAGGTTGAGAGATATTAGTAAAAAATTATAGTCTTTCAATATATCAGAAAATACCTTCACTGGATATCCATATAAGTGAATTAAAAATTGAATTTATTTGCTTGATAAGTAGAAATGATAGCCATATGTTTTTGCTTCATAAGTCACATTTTCTGGAGATATTTTTCTTAAAAAGTTTTTGTTATATTTGTGATATAATGGTTTATATCATTAAAATCTCACTCATCTGTTAGTTAACATACTATGCTGTATATTTTATGCTATAAAACCTATTTCCTCTATTCAGAAGAATCTTTTAATACTGTTTGATATTAATGGTATGAAAAGGGGTTTTGAAATATGGCCATGATTTTAAAAATATTTGGCTTATTGTTGGATCTGGAGAATAGCTGTGTTGTGATAGGGAATAAATAATAAAGGTTACCTAACCAAAGTTAGTTCCAGTGTCATCAAAATCGTCATTACCAAACTTAACAGTGATATATTGAGGTGGCCTTGTATGAAAGAAAATTACTTTATAAATACAAATTGAGTGACACAAAATTAATAGTGGTTTTTCTAAAACCAAAAGTAATATAATTAATTAAAGTGTGTGAATATTCCTATGTACCCAGGTTGTACTGGACACAGAATAATGAGGACAGAAAGACATCCAGTTAGGCATAGCCATAAGACATTCTTTTCTTCATGAGTCCCTCAGGTCTTTACTCTGGCATCCAAATTTCAAAAAATGCTTTGTAAATATTTAATCAAGGGACCTGAAGTTCAGCAGTAAAGGACCTGAATTTGGTTTCTATCCATGTATTCTTAGGGCATTTGTCTACCAAAGACTGATTTTATTAATGTTAATCTAAAACATACCACCTTGAATATTTGAAGAACACATTTTTTTTGATGCTTTATTAGAAACAGTTACTAGGTGCTAGGTATGTAGCTCAGTTGCTTGCTTAGGAAACCTGAGGCCCTGCATAAACCAAGTACTCAGGCGGCAAAGGCAAGTGGGTCTCCAGTCTCTATAGTGAGTTCCAGACCAATTAGAGCTATATAATAAGACTGTATCTAAAAAAATAAGTTACTGGAATAAAATATTTAGGAAAGAAATTAGTCCAGTTACATTTGTTTCCTTTAAAAAATTATTTCCTTGCTTGTATGTGTATGCCTGGTGCTTGCAGAGGCCAGAAGATAGCATTGAATTCCCTAGAACTAAAGTTACAGACCATAGTAGATGAGCTACCACTACTGTATGTGTGCTGGGAATAGAGCTCAGGTACCCTGGGAGAACAGTTAGTGCTTGCCCTTAACTGTTGAGTCATCTCTTCAGCCCCCCTAATTAAATTTATTTCAGTCCCCTGTATGTTGTTGTAAGCTCAGTTGGCTGTATTCTACAGAGGGAAAAATTTGTTTTGATACGAATTATAAACACATTTGTTACTATATTTGAACCAAAAATTGACATGTCTTTATGTTGCAAAGAACATTAAAGGTATATTGTAAAAGGAATTATTTATATGTTGTATAATGCATAAAAATGTTCTATAAGCTCCTCAAAGAAATGGGTAGTTGACTTTATATTCTAGTTGAACATTCATTAGAGAAGGATGATGGAGAAAGAAAAATAAAACACCATCCCCCCCACACTTTTGGGGTGGGGGTTGAGACAGGGTTTCTCTATGTTCCAGTCCTAACTGTCCTAGAATTCAATCTGTAGACCAGGCTGGCCTTGAACTCCCAGAGATCCACGTGTCTCTGCTTCCTGAGTGCTAGGATTAAAGGTATCTGCCAACACCGCTGCCCGGCTGGAGAAAACAGTTTTTAATCAGGGTTCTATTTATCAAATAGATTTATTTTCCTAGGATATTTTGGAAGAACACTGAATCAAAGAGTAGGAATTTTAGACATTTTAACTTATAAATGTTAGTAATATCCTTGGTTTCTAAAATTGTTAGTAATTGCTTTCATGATTATTTCTCTTTTGGGATCTTTTGAAGAATTTGTCCCTCTGTACAGCTGCTCTCATGTACATATTGAGTAGAGATCGTTTGAACATGGATCTTGATAGGGCCAGCCTAGATCTCATGATTCGACTCTTGGAACTGGAACAAGATGCTTCTTCAGCTAAGCTACTGAATGAAAAAGACATGAACAAGATCAAAGAAAAAATCCGAAGACTCTGTGAAACTGTGCACAATAAGCATCTTGATCTAGAAAATATAACGGTAGGTTGTTTCTTTTTATAACAAATAAAAGATTATGCTCAGAAAGTCTGATTAGTCACAGTGGCTATTAAGGTTTAGCTCTGAACATCATTTCCTGTGCTAATTAGGGTTATTGCTGTGATGAAACACCAAAGCAATTGGGGAGGAAAGGTTTATTTCAGCTTACACTTACAGGTGCATCACTGAGGGAAGTCACAGCAGGAACCTGGAGGCAGGAGCTGCTTACTGGCTTCCTAGGCCTGCTTTCTTACAGAGCCCAGGCTGTCACAGTGGATTGGGCCTCCCCCCATCAGTCACTAATTAAGAAAATGCCTTACAGCCAGATCTTATGGAGGCAACTTTCTTAATTGAAGTTCCCTCTCAGATAGCTGTAGCTTGTGTCAAGTTGGTATTATATTAGCCAGCATGCTCCTGGACTCACTAAACTAGCTTATCTATATTTGAGCCTTTCTTGGTTTTGATTTTGCTAGTAAATTGTAACTGTTTTTCTTGTTACATTTTGCCTAATCTTTTTCTTTTCCTTCCCTCTGCATTTAAGCTGTTAATTTGTAACTGGAATTTTTATTTTCTCCATTTCCAAAATCAGAATTAGGAGGATTTGTAAAGTATTTGTAAGCAAACATTTGCTTATGCTAGACTATCTCAGGGTTTCTAGAAGGTAATAGAGGAAATTCCCTAGTCACGTGCCCTTTATGGAGCAATGTCCCTACTCACTGTAGGATTATGGACAGTTTTTATCTTTATTCTGAGCACAATTCCTCAATAGATGATGATAGTCTAATGGATACAAGACCAGTAAGATAATTGACCTATGGTTTTAAAGAGAGGAGAAAAGATAATTGTTGTTTAACTTGATTTTATAAGGTAAAACTTCTTTTTTCTATTGTGTACTTAACTGAAAGGACAGCAACATTTGCCGCAAAAGTTTAGACTCATGCTAGTCTCAGTAACCGAAGACTGTCAGTCCATTTAATTATACTAGACTCACTAAGGGATTCATGGGTTCTGAAAAAGATAGCAAATAGGAAAGCCAGCCAATTTTAAACACAGGTTAGGTTCAAAACTCAGATGTGTCCTGTACTTTCTAGAAGTGGAAAATCACTGCAGTTCGTGTAGTGCCTATAGTTTGGTTTGAAAGTAGGACAGTATTATACATTTAAAACCAGTAATTTTATTCACTCCACAGTTTTACATCCAATTTTTAGAATAATTATTAAATTTACATTCAAAGTATAGGCTTCATCATGGTATTTTCTTGTATTCTTTGTTTTAATGGAACATCTTTCCCAGTGTTCTCAACACTGAGAGTTAAAACTCTCAACCACAGAAATACTTGCATGTCTTTTTACTTTACTGCTGCACTCTTGATAGCCAAGAAATAGACCTAGCCTAGATCTCCAAGAACAGATGAATAAATAAAAATGTGGGCTATAAGCCGGGCGGTGGTGGCGCACGCCTTTAATCCCAGCACTCGGGAGGCAGAGGCAGGCGGATCTCTGTGAGTTCGAGACCAGCCTGGTCTACAAGAGCTAGTTCCAGGACAGGCTCCAAAACCACAGAGAAACCCTGTCTCGAAAAACCAAAAAAAAAAAAAAAAAAAAAATGTGGGCTATATATAGATGTGGAATTTTACTTATCCATAAAAGAAAAAATTTTATTATTCCTTCTCATTTTAATTGTTTGAATAAAAAAAATATGGAATGCTTCACGAATTTTCATGTCATCCTTGCACAAGGGCCATGCTAATCTTCTCTGTATTGTTCCAGTTTTAGTATATGTGCTGCCAAAGCAAGCGAGGAAAAATTAATTTAAATTGAACCTATAATTTTTGTTTGCCGATCTTTTTTGTCATCCATTCAGCATTTTAGTTTGAAATATTTGTTTGGTTTGTTAGGGTAAGTAAGTGTCAGCTTGAAAAATGCTCACAATATTTTAACTAATTTACGTAGTTGAAACAAGAAAACAGGACTATGTTAGGGTGCCTTTTCTCTTTTAACTCAGTGTCAACTGTTCTTAAATGTAGTTGTTTTTAAATTGTACACTAGGCTTAAAAGTTGCTTTGTTTAAAGCCGGGCAGTGGCAGAGAATCCCAGCACTCACAGGTGGATCTCTGTGAGTTCGAGGCCAGCCTAGTCTACAAGAGCTAGTTCCAGGACAGCCCCCAAAGCTACAGAGAAGCTGTCTTGAAAAACCAAAACAAAACAAAAAAGTTGCTTTAATTATTTAAAGAATAGTTGCTCACACTGGTTTTGTTATATTAATTGTTTGGGTCTGGATTAATTTTCTTGTGTGATGTTTTTGTATATTTTAAAGTGGGGTTTGTTTTTTTGTTTCTGTTTTGAGACAGGATTTCTGTGTGTAACCACCACTCTGTCCTGGAACTCCCTCTTGTAGACAAGACTGGCCTTGAACTCACAGAGATCCACCTGCCTCTGCTTCCCGAGTGCTGGGATTAATGGCATGCACCACCATTGCCTGACTAATTTTAAAGTTTTTTTTATTAATTTTTTTAAATAATAAAATTTATAGTCAGGTATGATGATGCACACTTTTAATCCCGGCACCTAGGAGGCAGAGGCAGGTGGATCTCTGCGTTCAAAGCCAGTTTGAAGCCCTGTCTTCCCTCCCCCAAAGAAAAAGAGGTCATAAAATTAAAAAAATAATTTATCTTCTTTTATATATATTTGTTTTGTTGATAAGGCATAAGATAATAGTAGTAATAGAGATTTAAACAGTAGATAACTAAGTGCTAATAGTTAACAGAAGTCTTATTAGTAATTTTGCTTTAGATGATTATTTTAGTTTTCAAATAAAAATGCTTAAAATTATAGGCTAATTTTGAATAGAGCTTATCATGTGCTACATAATAACCTAAAATATATAGTTTTTACTAATACAAATTTTTTTATACTCTACTTAAAGATTGTAGCATTAGGTCTTAGCATCATTGTTAAGACTCATGAACTAATAAATTTGGTCATTAAATTATTTCTTGGAGAACCTAGAATGAGAATTGAACCCAATTCAATGCTTTTGTTGTATTGGATTCTAATTCTGTACTTACCCTAGCATAAATTTTCTTTCTGAAGAAATTTTAAAAAGTATTTAGCTCCTTCTAAATTGGTAATACTAAGATTCTCATTGACGAGTCTTGTTTTATTTTGTACATAATCTATATATTCAGTTTTAAATATACATGCCAAGGTGAAAAGTTTTCTCTTTTGAAGTGTGTAAGTTCAGGTTCAGGTTGGTATCTGTACAAAGAAGTCTTTTTGCTCTTTGCTAATTGTTCCCATACTCTTTTTTTTAAATGAATAGTTCATTGGTATGTTACCAGGGGTTAGCATGCTGAACAGTAACTAGATCGCTGCCTCCCATCCTGCTGATTACTTCTTCTTTTAGGCTAAATTTCTTTTATTACACCAAGAACTAGACTACTCTGTTGGAAGGTCTCTTTAGGCTTTAAAACCATAGATTCACAAAGAAAAATGCTAACCTAGTTGTAAATGTGATTCTTATTTGTGCACCATATAGTGGTGGTTTTGAATATATAGCGTTGTGACTACATGAAATTTTCTAGCTGCCAAATAGTCCTAAAGAATACAGTTAAAGACAGTATGATAAGACTTTGTAGGAAAATAAAAAAAATGGTGAGCAGAGAACTTGAAGAATAAAATGGTTCACTGTTAAATACGTGGAAAAATGCTCATGTTTACTGTAATCAGAAAAAGTATAAACCAAAATTGTTTGTTACCCCTTTGTACCTTCAGGCTGTTGAAATTAGTGACCGTTGAACTTGAACATTTAGGGTCACCAACATTCCCATACTTGCTTTCCTGAAATGTGTATAACTACATTCTTTTTGGTTAATCCAATATATTTATGTATAGTAAAGAATAGATGATTTGATTCAGAATGCCACATTTGAGCCTCTATTCTGACATTGTATATTATTGAAACTAATTTTAATTTTTTCCTTAAAAGCAAGCAATATAGTTGAGGCACAGATTCTTCAGTATGGACTATTCTGATAAAATTGGAAGTTAATTCACCTATGAAAACATTTATTGTACTGTTTTTGACTTAAATACATTTTAATAAAAATATTTCTAAAATTATTCCTTGAGAATTATTCTAGCTGGGAGGTGGCAGTACACACCTTTAATCCCAGCACTGAGAAGGCAGAGTCAGGTGGATCTCTCTGAGTTCTGGGACAGCCAGAGTTATACAGAGAAGAAACCCTGTTTTGGTTTTTCGAGGCAGGGTTTTTCTGTAGCTTTGGAGCCTATCCTGAAACTAGTTCTTGTAGACCAGACTAGTCTTGAACTCACAGAGATCTGCCTGCCTCTGCCTCCCGAGTACTGGGGTTAAAGGTGTGCACCACCACTGCTTGGCTGAAGCCCTGTTTTAAGAGAAAAAGAAAAAAGAAAATATTCATCACCTCAGTATTCATTAATTAAGTATTCTTGATTTTTTTTTTTTTTTTTTTTTTTTTTTTTTAAAGACTGGTCATTTAGCTATGGAGACTTTGCTGTCCCTCACTTCCAAGCGAGCAGGAGATTGGTTTAAAGAAGAGCTCCGGCTTCTGGGTGGTCTGGATCATATTGTAGATAAAGGTCTGTATACAATACACAGACACACACATACACAGTGGCACACATGTTAAGTACCAACATTTGGGTGGCAGAGGCAGGTGGATCTCTGAGTTTAAGACTAGTCTGTTCTACATAGCCAGTTCTAGGATAGCCAGGGCTACACAGGAGAAACCTAAATCTCACGAAAACAACAACAAAGAGAAGACTCTGTAACCAAGGCAGTTTATAAAAGGAGTTTATTGAGGACTTAGAGTTTAAGAGGGTAAGTCCATGACCATCATGGCAGGGAGCATGAAGGCAGACAGATGTGGGGCTGGAGCAGTAGCTAGAGTTCACATTTTGATATATCCAAGTACTGAGTAGAGAAGGGGAGGGAGAGAGGAACTAGCTGAGAGTGGCCTGAGGTTTTTTTGAAACCTCAAAGCCCATCCTTAGCATAGGCCTTCTCTGACAAGCCCAGACCTCCTAATTCTTCCTAAAGATCAAACATCCAAATATTGTAGTCTGTGAGAGCCATTGTCATTCAAACCACTACACTTAGTATCAAGCATAAATGATGTTCACATTCCAGCATATTCATTGCATGTGTGTGGGTGAATTTTGATGTTAGCAAAGGAATAATTATTGAAGTTTTATATACTAACTTGTCCATTTCTTTTTGCCTAGTAAAAGAGTGTGTGGATCATTTAAGTAGAGATGAGGATGAAGAGAAACTAGTAGCCTCTTTATGGGGAGCAGAGAGATGTTTACGAGTTTTAGAGAGTGTAAGTATGGACAACTGCATGAGGGAATTATTTCTAATTGTGATTATATGTACTTATAACCACCTGATACTTTATATACCCTGGAGTTTCTCTGAATTAAAGTTGCAAGGGCTCTTTTCACAACCAATTGTCAGTAAGTGAGCATCTTACATTTTAAGAATGTGTTGGGTTGCTGGACATGAGATGATAGATGCTAGGATCCTAAAATTTTGGGAGACTTAAGGAGGAATGGTTATGAGTTAGAGCCTAGCATTAGCTACATAAAAGCCTGTCTCAAAACAAAAAGCCGCTATTTGTGTATTATTGCTTCAAATGAAAGGTGCACACAGATTTGTTTATATGTATATAAACTATAGTTTTCTTATTACAGAATTCTGTTTCTGGTAAAAATACTCACTTGTTTTGTAGAAAACAGAAGATTTAGTCTTTTCTTTCTTTCTTTAGTTAGTATGCTTTTATTTGTTTAGATTATGAGTCAGTAAACATAGCTAAACATTTGACTTTGGAAAATAATACTGCTGGGCGGTAGTTACAATATTTTTTTCTTTGGTTATGAATGACTTAACCTAGTTCAGTGTAGGCTACAGTTTTACTGCTAGTAAATTTTAGGATGTATAATTGCTGATGAAGTGGATTGACTAGGCACTTTTAAAAACACGGCGGAGCTTTTGGCATTCATAAAATTGAAATTGTTCTTCCTTCTAGGGTGTTGCTTACTAGATAACATGTTATTTCTTTATTTAAAATTTTTTAAATGGCTGAGTATGGTGGTGTATACCTTTAATCCCAGCACTTGGGCAGAGACAGGCAGATTTCTATAAGTTCAAGGCCAGTCTGAGCTTCATAGTGAGTTCTAGGATGGCCAGGGCAGTGTAGAGACTCTGTCCCCCCCCCCCCCCTTCTCTCTCTCTCTCTTTCTCTCTCTTTCTCTCTCTTTCTCTCTCTCTCTCTCTCTCTCTCTCTCTCTCTCTCTCTCTCTCACTCTCTCTCTCACACACACACATAAATATATAACTGTAAGCATATATACATATATACTAAACAAAAAAGGACATGAAATTTAAAACTATATTTAAAATATATTTATGAGTTTTAAAGTATCAAGTTTGTATGTTGGAGATTTTTATGTCTGCACTTCAAAGTATTTGGCAGTTAATTGTAGCAAATGAATTGTGATGACTACATTAATTATTAGTAATTATGACAGTGGTGTCTTAATTTTATGATAAATCAATGTTTTTAGTTGGGATCTCACTATGTAACTTTAGTTGACCTGGATGATCACTGTGTAGACCAGGATTGTCTTGTACTCAAAGACAAGCCTTCCTCTGTCTCCTGAATGCTGAAATCAAAGATGTGTGCTCTATTATGGGTAGCAGTTTTCTTATTTTAAATACTGATCTTATAGGTTGCACCCACAGGTTGTAGAGATA